CCTCCTCTTCCTCCTCATCCATTTTAGAGATTTAATGGCTAATTTCACTTCACCCCGAGCGAAAAAAGGTGACCCCAAGGAGGAGATAGGGAAGGGAAGTTGAGACGGCAGCCCTTCGGGAGGGGTAAGGGGAGGGAGAGCGGCGGCGCGGCGGCGGCATCTTAGTGCCGTATGGTACATCTGGGGCCGGAGGGGTGGGGGCGGCGCTCGGGCGGCGCGGGGGCGACACTCCCGGACACACCCCCTTTCAGAGCGCTCCGAGGCCAGGGTCGTGCACTTCCGGTCAAGCGCAGGGAAGTCCACTGTGGCCTTGGTCCATTATTGTCACTGGGGGGTCCGCTCTTCCTCGTTGCTGCTGCTGTGTTTCCCGAGGTGTTTCCGGCTCTGCTTCCGCACGACTCCCCCGGACTCCCTGGACTCTTCGCCCCTTCGTCCCTCTCCCAAAGACTCTCCGACCCCCCAACCCGTGCGCCGCTGCTACTGCTGCTGCTGAACTCCGGGTTTCGGCCGTGGAATCTCGACAGTGAAATTCCAGAGGCGGCGCAGTACAGTGAAAAGAGTCGGCCTGCTGCTGTGGTGGCGCCAGTACACAAATGGCACAAAGAGCCAGGCAGTCTGGGGCGAGCGCGGGGGCGGAGCGGGGGCAGAGCGGGGGCAGAGCCCGGGCAGAGACCCACACAAGGACATCAAGTCAAAGAGAGCAGGCCTCCCCTTCCAGCCCCTCACCCTTGTGCGCCATTCACTGCCTGCTCGCAGCGGTGGGGCACCCTCTGCCGCCGAATAAAACAGAAACCAAGTGCGCAAACGGACAGAAAGAGCAAATAATAATAACATAAAAAGGCGGTAGCCGGCGCACAGACGGACCAAGAGCCAATTTGTATTCAGAGAAGAAATGGATTGACGACCCCATACAAGCCACCGCCGCCGCCGCCGCCACCCTCGCCTCCCCCGTCCCGCACCGCCGCCACCCCCTCTCGCCGGCAGCGGGCTGCAATGCCATTCGCGGGAAGCAATCAAATTGAAAACCCGAAACGTTAGAACGTCGCTGAGCCCCGCCAGGCAGGCCGTGCCGATCCTCCGTCCCGCGTCCCGTCCCGGGCTGACCTGACGCTGGCGCGGGTGCGGCGAGAGGTCCGCGCCTTTACTTTTCGGCCACTCTCTTAACCCGCGCCGTTCCTCTCTCTCCCGGCCGTGGCCTTCCCTCTCACTCCCCCTCCTGCCAATCTTGTGATGCCACTCGCCGCCGCGCGCTGGGCCACTGGCTGGCCTGGCCCCCCGGCCTCTCTCGGACTCGTCCTAAAAAGCAAAATAAAACAAACGAAACAACAACAAAAACCCGTATGGAACACTGTGGCTGTAAGACAGAGTTTTCTGGTCTCATCGGCGAGCCAGGGAAAAGACGGTCACGCGCCGGTTTGGAGCCCGTGGGGAGACCGCTGAAAGACGGGTGGACGACGGTTGGTCCGGCTCACGGCGGTCTTTCCACCAGCTGATTTTCGCGCTCACGGCCGTCTTTTTTCCGTCTCGAAAAAGTGCATTTTAAAGACGGTTGAGAGACGACTTGGCCGGCTGGGCCAGGGAAGGGGAAGCCAAAAGGGGAGCCCTGCCCAGCGTCGAACGCATGTCGCTGAGTTGGGAGTCGGTGACGGTGTCCACTTGGCCAGAGCGGTTACCTGAGGGAGACGAGGCGAACGGCGAGTCTCAATCGGCCGGCTGCTTGCGCCGCTTAGGCACCCACGAGGGTGACTACGAATTTTAACTATCTATAGCAGTGAGGTACTTGTGCGCGACCATGCGTCGCTGAGCTAGGAAGAGCTGATATAATACGAAGGGCCTTCAAGTGTATTTAAAATCTACGACGAAGCTTCGTTGTCGTCGTAATACGAATGAATGCTTCGTAGAATTTAAACAGCGTGGTTGCACATCGCACATGCACCTCACTGCTATAGATAGTTAAAATTCGTAGTCACCCTCGTGGGTGCCTAAGCGGCGCAAGCAGCCGGCCGATTGAGACTCGCCGTTCGCCTCGTCTCGCTCAGGTAACCGCTCTGGCCAAGTGGGCACCGTCACCGACTCCCAACTCAGCGACATGCGTTCGACGCTGGGCAGGGCTCCCCTTTTGGCTTCCCCTTCCCTAGCCCAGCCAGCCAAGTCGTCTCTCAACCGTCTTTAAAATGCACTTTTTCGAGACGGAAAAAAGACGGCCGTGAGCGCGAAAATCAGCTGGTGGAAAGACCGTCGTGAGCCGGACCAACCGTCGTCCATCCGTCTTTCAGCGGTCTCTCCACAGGCTCCAAACCGGCGCGTGACCGTCTTTTCCCTGGCTCGCCGATGAGACCAGAAAACTCTGTCTTACAGCCACAGTGTTCCATACGGGAAGAAGCAATAGCCTCGTGCGCAAATCCACACGCGGATTTTCGATTCGCACGAACCGCCGCGAAGACCTCCAAATCTACGCGCTCTGCCCGCGAATGTGCGCAACTTCCGCAAGCCACACTGGCGGAAATCTTACTCCTTCCTCCTCTCTTGGGAGAAGAGGTCGGACCCATCGTCATTTTTCATACCGAACGCGATAAACTCTGCGGCTGCGGCGCGTCTCAGCGTCCCCTTCATCTAGGCCCCCGTGCCGCCCCCGCCAGGCTGACGTGCCCCTGTCGTGTGGAGGCGGCCCCGCCCGGGCCGGCGAGGGCGTGGCGCGATACCAGTGACAAATGCCCGTGGCCTATTCGGGGCCTATCGCACTATCACGGGCTCCCCCCCCCCCTCTCCACACACACATACAACGCACACCCCACCCCGCCACACATCGCACTCTGTTTACGGCACATGGGGGCTGCGCCGGCCTTTCTTTCCCGTGCGAGGCCGCCCCTCCCCTCCCCACCTCACTCCCTCACTCCCCT